AGGGAGGGAGGAAGAAAGGGAGGAAGAAGAGGGAGGGAAGGAGGGAGGGAGGGAGGAAGGGAGGAGGGGGAGAGAAGGAAGGGAGGGAGGGAGGAAGGAAGAAAGGGAGGAAGAGGGAGAGAAGGAAGAAGGAAGGAAGGAGGGAGGGAGGAAGGAGGGAGAGAAGGAAGGAGAGAGAGAGGGAGAAGACAGCTACCTTCACACATGCTAGTCATCCCTGATTAGCTGGTTTCTGAACCGAGTGCAATGGGTGGGGTTCCCACCACAGGCTCAAGCCAAGCAACCAGGTACAGCGTGTTATGTGAATTCAGCCACCTGCTCTAGCTTTGCTCTCAGGGCCTCTGACCCCAGGAAAAGGGGTTTCCTTCCTCGCTCCTTTGCTCACTCACCGATCTTGCTTCGTGTGGTTGATGATGGACCGGACCTTCAGTTCCCCGTCAATCTTTGGCCGCCCGTATTCTTCTAGCTTCACCGGCTGTGGGAGAGGCGGCAAAGGTTAAAAGGGCAAAGCTCACTGCCAGACCCTTAAGAGCGGTAATTTGGCTGCCGAAGGAAGAAAGGAGACTGGGCACCATCGGGGGCTAAGTGGCATGAAGACCCCTTCCTGGGTGCTGTGCAACCCAAGTCTGGGGACTTGCGAACAGGCTAATTAACTTCTGGCGAGACCAGAAAGCGGGGGGTTCTCCTTTCCTCCTGGGCATTGCCACCAACCGAGACATCCCTTGCCCGTCTGGCTCTGAGCCCAGCGATCCATTTCTGCAACACCACCCCCCACTCCTAGCCACGTCCTGGTCGCCTCCAGCAGCTCTGACCCACTTCCTCCGTTTGGCAGTGTTCGATCTCTCGCTGCATGGCCTAGTGGGGCTGTGAGCATTCGCGGACTACATTGCCCTGGCCGCTGGCCCAGCTGGCACCCTCTGTGGCCCTTCAGCTGGCCGCTGCAGCTTCCAGTTGCCTTGAAACAGCCATTATAGGACCCAAGAAGGTCCTAAATGAGGACCCTGCTGCGGTCACCAGAAACGCCGACACTTCCAGCCTCAAACCAGCTTTGTTCTTACCAGGTTTTCTATGGAACTCTGAAATTCACTTATTTTCTTCAACGTCTCTTTGTCGCGTTTGACTTCATTGATGAACATGGCCAAGTCCTGAAGAACAAACAGCAGCCCCCGTGAGCCCGCTCCTTCTTGGTCGATGCAGACCATCACCAATGCTGCAGGCAGAAAGCCCTGGGCAGGGATGCCGGCCTGGGAAGGGAGCCGTCTGGGGAAAGACCGTGGCTGGTTCCAAAGAAGGAGCAGGGCAGATCTGCTTCAAAGCTGGGTGGAGCCTGCCATAAAAATCTCAGGGGTGCAAGCTATGCTGGGAACTGGGACGTCTCCTGAGTGCTGGCTTCCCCTGGAAATGGCAAGCCAGTGATCTGCATTCGGGTCAGGCTTCCCTTGGGGCTGCCCAGGAGAATCAGAGAGCCCGTGCAGCTACCCAGGACCCACCCGGGTGTGCAGAAGCGGGCAGCAGCTGTGTCAAGCTGAGAAAAACTGGGAGGCTTTGTGCCTCTGGCTGTGCCTCTGTTCAGGGACCTCTTTCAGCCCCAAAGAGCAAGGGTGTAAGACCCCCTGGCCCTGTGAATGGGCTCCGCCCCTCAGGACCCCTACCTGCATGGCCTCCAAGGCTTCCTTCAGCTGCTGCTTCTCTGGCCGGTCGGATGAGTGGCTGAGGAGCTCCTAGAAGACAAACCATCATCCTTGGTTACCTGTAGCCACTGCCTGTCCTGCTGCTTCCTGCTCCATCGCACCAGGCAAGGGGTTCAAGGCCACCAGAGTGGGTGGCAGGAGAAGTCCCTGCTGACAGACAGAAGCCCTGGAATTGCCTCTCCCAATGATGATGGCCCTTGGGGGTGGCCAGATGCATTTCATGCAGATTCAGATGATTTGGGTGCATTCTTCAGCGAACAAGGTGGAATAATTGCATTCTTAATCTTTAAGGGGAGCAAAAAGCATTTGCACCATGGGGAGGCGTAGAATCCTGGGGCAAGGAAGGCGTGAGCGGAGCCAGACGAGGCCCAGGCTGGATTCTCTCCTGCTGGAGTGAAGTTGTCTGAAAGAGGCTCAGCCGGGTCCACCCTGGCCCTTTCCATGTGCTCCCAGGCTTCCCGATGCACAGCTTTCCCCACCTTTCCAGGTGAGGAGCAGACAGGGCCTTGGTGACCTCATCAGGGGTCCGAGGGCCGCCTGGGGCAGCCAGGTGGGCTGGATGAGGCCCGGGGCTGGCTGTTCTGCACTCCTTCGGCTCTAGCAACCCGCCTGAAGCCAGCACTCAGGAGACGTCCCAATCAGATCTGGGATCCTCTCCGCCGCGAGGCACGGAAGCCTGCATTGCCCACTCCAGAAACACGTCTGGGGATCTTCACCACTCTGAAAGGCAGAGGACAACTCACTTTGAGCAGGAGGTGATACTTCAGGACTCTCTGCATTGGCACCACCAGCAGGTCCTGGAGCTTGAACTTCCCATCCTGAACCTTCAGCGTGCATTCCTTGAAAGGGGGCAAAGAAAGGTAGCAGTGAAACCCCACCTTGGCCTCCGCCCCTCTCACTGTCTCCGACGAAGGAACATCTGGGGAACCAGCAACGCAGCAGGACCAACAGGAGTGACCTCTCTCCGCTACAGCAGCCGGCAGCTAACGACAGACCATCCAGGTCCCAGCAGACAAGCAGTTTGCATGGCCGTCCTGCCCCAGAACTGGAACCCCCAACTCGAAGGGTTGGCAAGGGCTCCCCCTGGCCAGAAGGGTCTTGCTTGCGTTCCCCCTGGACCTGCGCTGTCTGCCTGCTGGACTCCACATCCCCTGCACCCATGGGGTCCCCCCCTCAGGCCCTGGCAGGCCACCATCCCTAAGGAATGGACTGGCCTTTTCTCTTCCTTTATCATTGGCTGTTTTACAAAAATATATTTTTGTTGAGCATTGTAAGAGAAAAGATATAAACAGAAAAGAAAAAAAAAGAGGATAAAAAAGTAAAAAAAAAATAGAATCAGGTGAATAAAGGAGGGGTTTTAAAGTATCATAAAAGTTTTAGTTTTTTCAATATTTCATTAAGTGATTGCAGATCTTAAAAACCTAAAAATTGCTTTTCAACTCTAGGCAGAATACAAATATGAAGAACAGCAGGTAGTACAATGTGAATCATAAAATGAAATTGAAAACTGCGATAAATTCTGTCCATACTGCTAGAAGTCTGTTCTAATTTAAGAAGTCCTAATAAATGGAACTATTAAGGCTTTCTGTAGAAAGAACTCCAAACTCAGGATGCCGTACAAATCCACGTATTAAACTGTAGTCCAAATGCAATGCAATTCAGGGTCAGATTTACTTTTCCGGACATCGAAGACGCTCCCACAACTTAGTTGGAAAAACTTAGTCTTCCCGTAGAGCAGCTCCAGCACCCTTTCCACTAAGAGGCGTGAAGCTCCCTCGTAGCATTTAGCCTGGGCAAAGCCCCTCCAGCACACTTTGTGGGGTTACTGAAGTTGAGTAAGAATTTGAGTAGGTAACCCCTCTGCTCCAGGAGGAACTGTCAGGGTGCAATACGAGTTGCCGGTTATCCCCACAAAGCCCTCCATGGCTCAGAGCCTGATTATCTGAAGGATCTGCTTGTCCTGCACACCCGACCGAACTGGGCTACTTCGGGTCCCCATCGCTACGCAATGCAGGGCCCAGGAGCAGCGCTTCTCTGGCCCGGCACCTCCCTCCCTCCCCCTGGAGATTTGCCTGGCCCCCACCCTGAGAAGCTCAGGCCTTGGGTGAGAGGGTTCAGGGGCCCCTCTAGGCTGGGGGTGATGTGGGGGACTGGTTTCTTCCTGGACTATTCTCCTGGGGCAACTTTTTCTGAAGCTGCTCTCAGTCACTTTTGGAGTTGGGCAGCATATAAATTGGACAACTGACAATCAAAAAAGTAAATACTTCAGAGTTCTGCATCGCGCTGAAGGAATATCGGGACTGCTGGCAGGGCCGGGAAATTGGCAAGCCTGGCCATGAACGTGGTGGTCTGTGGCAGGCAGCATCCTTCACACATCATGGCAGGGGAACAAAGTCTTGCCATAGCTAGGACAGGGATCAGGTGTGGGAGACCAGCACAGAAGTGTCCCTGGACCGAGTCCAGGCTGCTTTCGCTCCTGCTTTGCACTGCCCAAGGCTGGAGCTTTTGGCCACGGGAGCTGAAGAGCTCTTCTCCTGCAGCACAACATCCATGGGGCTTTGAGACCAGGCGGTGGCCTGCAAACCACTGTGGGAAGGAACGAGCATCTGAGAAGTTCTGAGAAGCCCTGAATGCCATCCTTGGCAAAAGGAATCAACAAAGTTCAATAACACGCCTCACCCCCATTGCCAACGTCTAAGTAATGAAGGACAGAATTGTTCAAACTATGAACAGTATTTATTCAGTGCCAGGGAAGAACAGATATTTGACCCTAGATGGTAGGGACCAGCTGGGATTAGATATTTCAAGCAGGGTGAGCTCCCCTCCATGGACGAAATGACCCCCACTGTAGCAGCAGAGCCCCAAATGCTGCCCAAACAGGCCTCATCCACACAGCTCTCCTTACAAGGTCCTTTGGCTCCCCACTCCCCTAAGACGCACCTCCATATCTTTACAATCTTTGCTGCAGTGCTGGGAAAAGCAATACAGTAGTTAGGAACTTAGAAGACACGTATTTGGCATTAGACAGAAGACATAATTCCTCTTCTGATACTGAGAAAGAAATATCTTTTACATACAGTACAGTAGTTGTAGGATTATGCCCATGAAAGTTTTTGATAAACCTTTCTTAGCACCAAGCAGGATAGCCAAAATGATCTCCAGAAAGAGGGAGATTTACATTAAATTATTTCTCAGATAGTGCCCTCCCCCCACCCCACAACAAATGTGATAGGTATTCAGAAATCAGGGGCCAGGGGCCAGGGCAAACTGACCAGGGAGTCCAGAAAGGAAAAACTTAAGGTCTTCTAAACGTCTCTCAAGAGCAGAGCAGCAGAGAATGCAAAGCAGATGGCGAGTTTTAGTGGGAAATTAGTCTTTAGTCATTCAAGGGCTAGAGACGGAGACAGTATCCAAGGCTGAAGACCGAAGAGCGAGCGAGGGCGGTTGCCACAGCCTTGGCTGCCCCAAACCTTTCCCTTGAGATGGCCCCTGTTTTGCACCAGTGTCCTTAAAGGGCGCCTGCAGAGATGGATCGGGAGCCGAGGGCCAGCTGTCGGTCAGAGTGGACAGGGATTGATCTTATTCTTCTCTTCTCTATCTCTGAACAGCATCATAATTTTTCTGAAAAGAGCATATGGTTTCCATTGAAGGCGGAAAAGAGCTGATATGCTATATTATAATTATGCTCTAATTATCCACTTCTAATTCTTTGCGCGCAAATTGGTTTGCGGAGGTGATTGCAGCATTTACTCAGCATTTTTCAAAGGAGCAGCTGAGCATCAATTATGACATAAAACAAAAATTATGGCTTCTAGTAGGAGAAACAGATTGCATAAAAGGCACTTGAATGGAAGTAAGGCAAACCATGTCACAAACTTTAATTATTTGAAGATTAACATGGCAAATCTAAATGACATTTTGGAAGAGCCCGAGCTGCAGGGATGCCCACTAATGGGCCCATCAGCCCCAGGCCCCGGCTGGAGCATCCTGACCACCAGCCAGCAAAGGCTGAGTCCGCCTGTTCTGTTCCGCTGGAGAAGAGAGGAAACCTCCTGGCCCCAGGAGAGAGGCGAAGAACGTCTCGACTGCCCCCTTCGCCATAGCCCCTCCTAGGGCTTTCTGACCCAGAATTTCAAGGGGCTAGGAGGGAACTGGAGATCACCATTTTCTCCCCGAACTTGGACTGAAAGCTCCTGAGGTGGGGGGGGGGCTGCCCCAGGAATCCAGGCAAAACGTGGCATGAACTGTGCTAGAGTTGGAATAACATAGGTGCACCACATGTGTGTATGAAGCACATGGCTTTGTGGAACTTGGACTTATCAGATTCTCTGGAAAAGCCACACGTAAGTTCACAGGTTCTGCACCCGGGGCCCCTTGGATCAATGGTGTTAGAGTCACTGTGTCATTGCAAGAGTGGCAGGATTGCAGAGGAATAAAAATCAAATCGATCAATCAATCAACCAACCAACCAAACTGGCCAACAGTAGAAAAATGCGGCACATGGCCCCAGTGTGACTGAGAGTAATCGGATGGAAATAAAACTTCGTTTTGGAAGTGAGTGAAAGGGATGAATGTGGAGCGAGTGGAATTAAGAAGGATGAGGACACTTCTGGGGCTGAAACTGAGGTGAGGGCATGCTGGAAAGAGGATGTGAGGTAGCTGCATGGGAATGACAGTGATTTATGAAGAGTGGAATTGAAATAGATGCCGTAAAGGTTAGCGTCAGAATACTGAACAAAAAGAGGTCCTAAATGCTATGACAACACTGAAAAGTTGTCAGGCTGCCGGCGTAGACAGTGTAACTACAGTTGTGTTAAAATATGGGTGTGCTTTGCATAAAGAATGGCTGTGGAACTTGTTTACATCTGTGTGAAGCCTCCATCTGTGCCTGACATTGTTGCTCTGCTGTGCAAAACAAGAATAAAGGCCAAATTAACAGCTGTGATATGTTTGCTAAATGCAAAGGGGTTGGCAGAATTCTGATCCAAAGTGTACAGGAATGGCAATGGCCGACATTCGGGGTGTGGGGGCTATGTGGCTTTATGTACGGTACCTGCCAGAGCCTTTGGGAGTAAAGCAACTTATGAACTAAAGGGAGCAAGCAATAAGTAAATCTTGGGCATGCAGACCCCATACTTGTTCTTTAGCAGGACACTGTTGAGAAATGTATGAATGTGAAAAAGAAAGTTAAATGGGCATTTGTTGATTTAGAGCACTGATTCCCAAATTATGAGGACCGCTTTTTAACGTTAAAGAATTTTGCAACCTTCTCCCATGACAGTAGTTGCATTTTTAGTACCTACTAATTGAAAAAAAAAAAAAGCATAATGACAAAGGCTACTATGAATTCAGTAATAATCAATAATGCTTTCAAATGAATTTGTATTTTATTATCCCAACAGTATCTATATACAGTTGAAAAATAATATGACATATATCTGTGTTGAATCAGTCTACAGAATACAGTATTATTATTTCCCTGTTCAGGGGAGGAAGTTTTTTGGCTAAAATGCCCCAGAAGAGTATCTCCCCTCTCCAAATAGTTGTTTGAAAAGGATAAATAAAAGAAACTAAAAACAAACCAGATTTTTTTTTTCCTGATCTAATTTTTTCACATGATTTTATTTTCTTCTTCAGGTGAGGAAGGCCCTTGTTGTTTTCAGAAGTGCTTGCGCCCTCCCCAATGTGCTCTTGGGGCTGGTAGTCTGGACACATCAGTGGGTGCAGATGTCTGGGTAAACCAGACAGGAAAGACAACCAGATGAGCTAATTCTACTTTATTGTAAAACTACACTGAAAGAATCTTGCATGTCCAAAAGTACAGTTCTCCCCATCGTCTCCTTTAGAGCCCGAGAAACTAGGGAGGGTCCCTTCTGAGCTTCCTGCCCCACCCACTATGCAGCTGCGGGCTATGCTCCCTCTTATCTGACTGTTCCCTTGGCAGAGTCTCTTGGCCCCATCTCCCAAGGTCTTTCCCACATACCATTACAGTGGGCAAGGCCAGGGCTCCTGGGGGAAGTGTGACTCAAAGCAGCACCAGCCAAATGTGAGGCTGATGGCAGTGAAGGAGGGTCCTTGGCATTGTGGTTGCAGGAAGACTGAGCGGGTGGGCCTGGGGTGCCTCCTCCTCCTCTCAACCCCACAAGCAAGGAATGGGGCTGGTAGTCATTGGAGCAACACTGGGAGCTGAGGCTATGGGTGTCAAGGTTGATGGGAGAAGAAACCTAGAAGATGGTGCTCAAGGGGGATAGCCAGGTTTTACTAAAAATGAGGAAATGTATGAGGCAATTTTAAAGCAGGCAAATGTTATTGGAAAGGTAGTGGGTAGCATGGGGTCTGGTGCAAGGAACTGCTGAAAGAAGCAAAATTGGCTATACCAATGGTGTAAGAGTGCGCTTCTGCCTACTTTGCTGTATGGAAATGAGAGATATGCCAGGAAGAACAGAGAGGTTGAATGGAGTGGAAATGGAGTACTCAGAAAGTGTGTGATGGCAGAAGGAATGAAGCTGATGGGGCAGGAACCAGCAGTTACAGGCAAGAGGGTTCCATTAGGTCAACGTAGATCAAGTGCTTTTCAAGGCCATGAAGAGAAGAGCAGAGTGTCTGTTGACTCAGAAAGATAGGAGGAAAAAGCCTAGAATTTAAACTCTGGAGCACTGGCTGATATATGGGCTTTAGTTTCTGGGCATTATAGCGGGAAGATCTTCCATGTTTGTACATTCTGCCATAAAAAGGCTAATCAAGCCACGTCACATCTGAGAACATAGGAAGGAAGTGTGAATGGGTCAAGAGGAAAGAATAGCCTGACAAAGTCATGGTGGGATGGATGAGTTGAGGAGATCCTGAAGAGAAGACAACATATGAAGTGGGGTCTGCATGTGGTGGAAGCAAGGGCGATTTGGAAGGATAGAAAGATCTGGGGAGTATAGTGAATGGTGTTGGTGTAAATCAGTTTTAGCTATATTTCCTTTTCTTTTTGCCTTTAATTTATTCTCCTCTGTGCTTCCCACTCTTTCTTCTATGCTTTGCACAAGGTTGCTTACCCTGAAAGAGAACAGCATGATCGGCATGCTAGTGTATATACTATAACACTGTAAGAGGAAAGTTTTAGCTGGCCCACTCCTATCCCAGCTTTCAGTCTGTGGAGTTGTTTTATAGTCTGGGAAGGATTCCACCACTTTGTCAAAGATAATGAACTCCATCTTTTTGAAAGGGCAAGAGAGCTCCTCCTAGTCCTCAGCCTTGCAAATACGGACACCGATAGTTACACCAGAGGGTGAGATGCACCATAGCTCTGCTTAAAATGCAGTTCTGGTAATGCTCCTTTTTTATATAGTAATTTTATTAAATATTATAATTGCAAAAGTAAAATTAAATGAAAAAAGGATAAAAAGAAAGAATAAAAGGTGCAGAAAAGAAAGGAAAAAAGGGGGAAATAGAAAAGAAAGAAAAAATAAGAATATAGTAAAGAAAAAGAAAAGAAATATATAAAGAAGTGACTTCCCACCTTCAGCACAACAAATATAAACAATTTGAGTAACTTATCACCTTCTCTTAAAATACAACAAATGATCTCTTCTTCCCATATAG